GGGAACTCACCAAGGCCAGCTGGCCTGGGTCTGAAAAGGCCTGGGTTAAAACAGGTCTCACTGAACATAGCGGACAATGAGGGCTACTGAGACCTCAAGAACAATGGCAATGGGTTTTTGAGCCTACTGCACGTATTGGCTTTGTGGGAGCCTAGGCAGTTTGGATGCTCACCTTACTAGACCTGGATGGAGGAGGGTGGTCCTTGGACTTCCCACAGGGCAGAGAACCCTGATTGCTCTTTGGGCTGACGAGGGAGGGGGACTTGATTGGGGGAGGGGAGAGAAAGGGGAGGCGGAGGTGGGGAAGAGACAGAAATCTTTAATAAATTAAAAAAAAAAAAAAGATCCAGGCCAGCCTGACCTACAAAGTTCAACCCTGTCTTAGAAAAACAAAAGGAAACACCCCAAAGAAGCCTTAACATGAATAAAAGCACATGTAGAAATCTAGAGCCAGCATTTACTCACGGAGCAGAGGTGAGATGATTATGTACACTCCGGCTTTCCTTAAAAAGCATTCTGGAAAAATTAGAAAGACAAAATTATTTTTTATAGCAGATAACATGGTAATTGCTTCACTTTTTGTTTTTGTTTTACATAAAAGATCTTGCTGTGTGGATCAGACTACCTTCAAACTGAGTATTATACTCAGGCTGACCTTGAACTCAAAATCATTAACCATTTGATTTTTACTTATTTATCAAGCAAAAGTAGTAACAACTTTATTTCTATGTATTCAGAATTTTTAACAAATCAATAGAAAAGGTTGTTTTTGTTACTTTAAGGATGATAGGTTGATAGCCTATTCTCTTAAAATTTCTCCAGCCAGGCACTGTGGCACATGACTTTAATCCCAGTACTCAGGAAACAGAAGCAAGCAGATCTTTGTGAATTCAAGGTCAACACGGCCTATTTAAACCCAGATGGCTTTGAACTCATAGAGATCTGTTTGCCTCTGTTTCCCACGTGCTGAAATTAAGAGGCATGCACCACCACAACTAGCAATTTTGTTTCTTAAAGTGGATTTCACAACATAGCCCAAGTTGACCTGGAATTCTCTGGTATAAACTTGCCTCAAACCTGCAGCCCTCTGTATATTCTCATTAGGGCTAGGTTATAAGTGTGTACCACATCTAGCTCTGTTCTAAATCTACCATGTGGTTCCTTTCTATCTGTTAAAAACTCCTCAAGTTTATAACCATTATCTACAGTCCTTTCTTCCTATTACTCAAAAGCAAAAAAAAAAAAAAAAGTTTGAATAAAAAAAAACAAAAAACATCTTTATATCCATCTTATTTCTAGTTCCACAAGATTTGTTTTGTTAAGTGCTGATGATCTGAAATACTATACACACACACACACACAAAATAGTTGTTTTTTGGGGGGGGTTGGTTTGAGATGGGGGTCCTCTTGATATACTAATGTTAAACATGTATGCTCATTTTAAATATTTCTTTAGATTATAATTTCCCCTTCTCTTTCCTCCCTCTAACCCCCCCAAACATAAGTTCTTAGCAAAATTGATCTGATGTATGTTTGTCTGCAAATATATCTTTTTTTTATTTTTTTATTTTTTTATTTATTACATATACAATACAGTGTTCTGCCGCCATGTATGCCTGCATGCCAGAAGAGGGCACCAGATCCCATTTTTTAGATGGTTGTGAGCCACCATGTGGTTGCTGGGAACTGAACCCAGGACCCCTGGAAGAACAGTCAGTGTCCTTAACCTCTGAGCCATCTCTCCAGCCCCTGCAAATATATCTTTATAACAACAAAAGTATATTTCTTACCTTGCCTGCATCCAGCCCTTAGGCCAAAGTGGCTTCACTTCTGTCTCCATGAAGGATTTAAGATAATCCTCAGCAGATTGGCTTTTATTTGGCTCTAATTCATAGCATCCCAATTTGATCTCAACAAGGTTACATAACAAAGTTCTAAACAAATTAAAAATATATACTGATATAAAAATGTGAATTGTAAAACTTAAAAAAGATTCAAAACAGTTATTTTTGAAGCACACAAATCTGGTGGCAATAAAGAATGTTAACTGAAGTATTCAGACTATGATAAGAGAAATAAGTTCTAATATTGATCATTCACTGCACTACAATCAACTCCCATCATGAAACAATGGCCTTTGGTACCTTTCTTTAGTGACCAAAGACTGAAAGGGATAGTTGTCTCCCTGGGGTAAAGCAAGCAGACAGTTCACACAAGTATATCACATGCTTGTCCTTATGCAAACAGAATGACTTCAGTCCACTATTAGAACAGCTGATAAAATGTATTATATGAAGACCAAGGCACCAGCCCCTGAGGCCATTACACTGGATTACTATTTTTGAGTATGTTTTCTTAGACACTAATCTTTGGTTGCTTCTGATCTAGTCCTCCACTTCTGGGGAATCTTCTCATTTCTTTGACTATAAATGAAGACTAAGAAAGCTCACCTAATGGTGTCATCCCAGTGGAATTTCTTTCGTGGGCCTATGACTCGTTTCCCTGGTTTCTCTTCATCATCATCTTCAGATCCATTTTTTTCCCGTTCTTCATCTGCTTGCACCCTAAAAAATGAATAACACTTTATTAAGCAGTTTTAACTCAGAATTCATGACCATAAAGTCCTTAAATACTTCAGTTGCTCATCCAAATGTTTACTTGAGACAGAACAGGGGGCAGTATTTCCACATGAAGCCAGTATGAAGTGGATGAGTAAATAAGTCCCTGAACTATAATACAGAGGTGCAGATGCTCAGCCTTTAGATCAAACTTCGTGTCCAGTCCCAGCTTAGTATAATTGGTTAAGAGGTGAAATGCTTTAAGCAGCATTAGGTTTTAGCTTTTTTATTTTTATTTATTTATTTTTTGAGACAAGGTCTCAGCATGAAGCCTAGGCTATCCTAAAACCTGGATCGCTCTGCTGAAACCTCCTAATTGCTGTTATTATAGGTACATCCTATTATGCCTCCCTTGGCTCTTGTTTTGTTCGCATCTATACACTAACCAGACAAAGCCTTTTGCTTTTGACAGCAAAGGCAGTTGAGTGGGAAGTGACACATCACTTAGAAAATATTCAATTACATCATTTTAACTGTATACACGGTGTCTAGAGAATGAGGACTACTTAAGAACATCAACTAAGCAGGGCAGTGGTAGTGCAAACCTTTAATCCCAGAGATCGGCAGGCAAAGGCAGGTGGATCTCTGTGAGTTTGAGGCCAGCCTGGTCTATACAACTGAATTCCAGGACAGCCAGGTCTGCACAGAAATCGTGTCTCAAAAAAAGCAAAACGCCAAAAACAAATGACAACAAAGCAAACAAAATAAAACCAAACAAAGAATATCAACCAAACGTCACTGTCAATTCTAAACCAGCCCAAACCAGAGGTACATACTTGGCACACTTGGCTTGACTACGAGCCTGGCAGTCCTCCTGGTATTTAAATAGCTGTTCGGGCATGACGTTGCTAACAGCCAACTTCAATTTTTGCAGAGGTTCCCTTAAACGATCATCCTGAAGGGGGAAATATATTTGGAGTTTTTTTTTTTTCAAATATAACAAAACTTACTCTATAAGCAGAACTTCAATAGGTAAAATCACATTTTACATACTGATTATAGACCTGAAATGTTATCTAACATGACATTTCTTCTACAGCCCCGACTTGTCAAGGTACACTGGAAGAAAAATTACATTGACTGTGTTTTCCACTACACTAAGCAGAGTCCCAGTTTTTGCCTGCTGCCCCAGAAACAGTGTTCCTTCACATTCTTAAGAATGAGTCCAAATTTTGGCCAATAAGTTTTATGAATGAATTATAATACAAATAGAAAATGGGACTGATATTGCCGAGACTACTGTTTAACTCCTGGTGTTGATATATAGCCAAGGAAGACACTATTCTAAAATACTACAACACACAATCTGCTCTGGTGACTACCAACAGGATGTGGGCAACCTGTTCTCCCAGTTACTGCTAGCAATTATAACTTATGATGCAAACAAAACTTAAATTCAAGGCCAAAAGAAAGAGGAAACTGAGAAACTCTTCTCCATATGGGTTCAGCTTAGAAAGGAAAATAAGAATTTTGTATCTGACAGCTCAAGTCAGCCAACAGCATTTTCATCTTACAAATAACATATACTTAAGTGCTTAAAACCTTCATCATTGTCATAGGCCCAGAAATATCTTAATTCTTTCTTCACTAAAGCAAAAGGATTTTGCTTTTTATAATGTAGACTGAGATTCAGACATACTAAGCAAGTCTTTACTTAAGCTTTACTATACCCCAACCCTTAACAAGTCATTATATCTTTTGATAAAAGATGTATTAGAACATAAAAATTATGACTAGAAACCTATGCTATAGATACTAATTAATAAACTAAGCATGCAGGGGGCTGGAGAGATGGCTCAGTGGTTAAGAGCATTGCCTGCTCTTCCAAAGGTCCTGAGTTCAATCCCCGGCAACCACGTGGTGGCTCACAACCATCTGTAATGAGGTCTGGTGCCCTCTTCTGGCCTGCAGACATACACAGACAGAATATTGTATGCATAATAAATAAATTAAAAAAAATAAACTAAGCTTGTAATGGTATCTGGAATAAAAATCTTAACCCTTATTATCAAGATTTCTTGAAGAATTATCTAGTTAAGATGACCCTGGGAAATTTTAAATATCCATCAACAGTGAAACTAAATGAGACACACTCATATGGTAGAAAGCTATAGACACATCAGTAGAAATGGATTTCTACTATATGTCAACATACAGCTGAAGTACAATATGGTGTTAGAAAGCAATATAGAGAAGAAAACAGTTTGTTTATATTTATATGAAGCTCAAACAATGTAAAGCTCCTAATACAATGGATATAAGTGGTATGACAGAGCTTATATAAAGACCAACAAAGATAGATGGTACCTTTTTCTTACAGCCAATGGGATATTATATAACTTCAAACATGAAACCTCAGATGTTTCTCTGAAAGTATTTTGTTGTTATTTTGTTATCATTTTTTTGAGGCAGGGTCTCACTATGTAGCTCTGCCTATCTTGGAGCTCATTATATGGACCAGGCTGGCCTCAAGCTGCCAGAGCTGCCTGGCTCTGCTTTCTGAGTGCTGGGATTAAAGAAGTGTACTACTACAGCTGGCCCTAAATATTTTATGATCTGGGGCTGGGGATTTAGCTCAGTTGACTGAAAGTTTGCTTAACATGCATTAAGTCCTAGGTTTGACTCCTGGAAAAACATAAAACCAGGTGAGGTGAGGCCAATCACGGTTGTGCATGCCTTTAATCTCAGTATTGAGGAGGTAAAGGCAGGCAGGCCATCTAATCTATATAGCCAGTTCCAGGTCAGCCAGGGCTATCCAGATTCTGTTTCCAGAACCCACATGGAGCTAACCACAATCCTTAACATCAGTTCCATGGGAGCCAATACCCTCTTCTGGCCTCTGTGAGCACCATCAACAATCATGGTATACAGATGTACATATAAGCAGAACACCCAAACAGAAAATAAAAATTAAAAACATAAATTAACAAAAACAGGCAAGGTGATGAAGGCCTACGATCCTAGTACCCAAATGTAAACCCTGCACTATTTGGGCTCGTCTAAGACAAAATACCTCCTCAAAAAGGGGGAAAAAGGGTTTCATACTACACAAAAGGGTGTTTTTCTGGGCTGGTATTACGGTGCATACCTTTACACTGCTGGTGGATCTGTGAGTCTGACAGAAATCTACTGTACATTATGAGCTCTAGGCCAGTCAAGTCACGGCCACATAGCAAGACCCTGTCACAAAACAAAACACAAAGAAAAAACCCCACTAAAAAGTTTTTCTACTTCTAGTTCTATTTTATCAGTTACCCATTTTTGTCATTTGAATTTTGGTTCCAATTGCCAATATCTAAAGTTGCCAGGAAAGACACAAAATATGAGACAGAAACACATTTTTTTTTTGTTCATTAACCTGCTTAATCAAGAAGGAACTATAATTTTTCAACTCAAAAGAAGTCTTTGTTAACAGATATTGGTGCCTTAATAAAGAATCCTGGTTTTTATACCTACTACATTGACTTTATAGACAATCCCTTCAGAATCAGTACTTTTCATCTAAAGCTATCAACTATCGATGTAAATATTTTTTATTTAAAATTTTGTGTGAGGGTTATCTATGGAGTTGTTTATGCTGTGGAAAATTTCTGGAATTCAGAGGACAGTTTTGTCAGGCTTGCTCAACAAGAGCCAGCTGATCCGTTTCGCCAGCCCCAAAGAAGAGGCTCCTAATCACCTTTAGTAATAAATACCCTATGGTTATTAAACACATGTAACAGGACTACAAAGTGATGAATGTGCAAAGATTCTTTTTTTTATAATTTTTTTTAGGATTTATTTATTCAGTGTTCTGCCTGCATGTATCCCTGCAGGCCAGAAGAGGGCACCAAATCTCAATTCAGATGGTTGTGAGCATATGTGGTTGCTGGGAACTGAACTCAGGACCTTTGAAAGAGCAGGCAAAGCTCTTAACCACTGAGCCATCTCTCCAGTCCTGTGCAAAGATTCTAAGCAAACATGTTGTTTACTGGTTACAAAACCGAAGATCTAGGTACTATTCTTCCACTTACCTGGACATTAAGATGTAGCTTCTTTAGACGTTTTACCAGTGTTTCCTTATTACATGGCACAAATGCTTCAAGATGGGAGTAAACACCACTACGAATGACAGGGCCTAATTCTTGTAGCTGTAACTCGATGCTGACCACAAAACAAAACAAAACAAAACAAAACACACAATAGTAAACATCATAAAATTCTTTTTTATATAGCATCTATATATAAAGCCAGAAATTAGCCAGGCGGTGGTGGCACACACCTTTAATCCTAGCACCTGGGAGGCAGAGGCAGGCAGATCTCTGAAATCGAGGCCAGAATAGTCTGCAAAGCAGGTTCCAGGACAGTCAGGACTACATAGAGAGAAACCCTGTCTTGAAAAATAAACAAAGCAAAAACAAAAGGAAGAAAGCAAACAAGTACAGGCAGGTATTTCTGAAACTACACTCCCAGAGTTCCTATAGTACTCTCCTTTAAAGTATCTGAAAAGACAAGGCCCTTTACACCCAGCTATGTGCACATGATAATTTCCTCATCTTTGTTTTCCTTTTATGCCTGTGACACAGCTGTTATTTAATAGTTTACTTAATTTATTGTACATAATTAGTTCTCACTTCCCTTTTGGGGACAGAAAACTAAATGTTAAATCTTTATTTTGTCTAGTAGCAATTTCTTTTTGATACTTCAGCCTGACTCCATCTTAAGTTTAGAATCTTGTTACAGGGTCGAAATAAGTTCCTTCCTGTTTTCTGTAAAACTTAAATTTGAGCATGTCTTTACCCTTTTCTGGAATTTGACATGTTCCACACCTGACCTCCACCCTGATTAAGATGTTCTGCCAAATAATTTTGAGACATTCTACCAAGTTCCTATGTAACCAAAAAAACCCCTTGGAAACTCCCTAGCCTTGCAGTCTTTTGGGCTATATAAAGCCCCAATTTTTTCTATGTTCAATGCTATTTTTCTCAAACCTGGCTTTAGGGAGACAGTCCTGTCTGACAGAAATTAAAGCTTGCTTAATTTGATCAAAAAGGACACTAAGGAAATCAACTGCTAAGTCCTCTGTATACTGCTATTCAAGTCAATGCTCACTCAAAGAGCACCAAGGAGATGGCATGGAGGTCTCTCTCATAGCAGTGTTTAGTAAACAGAATAATGCCCAGTGCAATCTGAGTGGACCAGAGGCAGTCAGAAGCTCGTTCTCTATTCGAAATGCCTGCTTCAGGGAACAGGGAAGAAAATCAAGTGAGCATATTGTATACTTGTTCATTCAGGTCAAATTCAACTATGGAAAAAAATGGTTAACCAAGAAATTAATCTTTTTCTCCTCAACAAAAGGAAGAAATGGTAAGGCCAATACACCTGGGTAATGTTATAGGATTACGCTATTTATTACAACAGGTACTCTGTCCAGAAGAGGAAAGTATGTGGGTTTAGGGTAGAGAAAAAAAGGCCAAAAATAATAATAAAGTGACTCTAAAGGAAAAACTTCAACTCTGTAGATTGTGTGTGTGTGTGTGTGTGTGTGTGTGTGTGTGGAGAGAGAGAGAGAGAGAGAGAGAGAGAGAGAGAGAGAGAGAGAGAGAGAGATGATTTAGCAGTTAAAGGCACTGACCCCCTTCCAGAAGATCAGGGTTTGATTCCCAGAAACCATATGGTGCCTAACAATTGTCTGTAATTCTAATTTCAAGGGATCTGATGCTTTCTTCTGGCCTCCTTGGGCACTAGGCACATGCATGGTGCAGTTACATATGTGCTGACAAAACACCCATACACATAAAATAAAAATAAAAACATCTAAGAAGAAACCAAAGTAGATGGGCTCCGCAACTCAGAGATTTGTTTGTGACAGACAGGGACGGAACTCTAATAGTGTGTTTACCTGTGTTGCCAGAGCACAAGGATGGGGCTCTTGACTCTGGGGGTGGGGGGGGATAGAGTGAAATGAAAAGAAAGGAGCGAGGGAAGGAGGGAGAGGAAAAAGTTCATCTAGTACAAGGGGAAAGAAAAAAAATGGCTAGTGAGATCAGATTATGGAATCTGGGACAACTCTGATGAGCAACAGCTGCACTGTCTAGTGCCTCTGGAGCTTAAAAGCAGTCATTAAGGGTGGCAGCACGAATGTGGAGTTACGCACCTCTTTCAAGCACATGCATTCAACTGAAAATCAGGGCCCAAACAAAGAACTCTTGTGCTACTCCAGGAGAAACACACTGTTCTGTTTGAGTCTACTTTTTAAGTATAACAGGTTATAACTAACTATAAGTACTGAAAAAAAAACCCTTTATCTCTATTATCTATTTAAAAAACAGGAGTCACAGTAACACTATTTGCTTGTATCTTCCTATCTGACGTTATAAAATGCCAGAGCAGACCTATTATTTTCATCATACATGTAAAATCTACTATCACATTTTGCCTAGTTCTGCCTGCAATCAACTGCATTCTTAAATCCTATAACCAACAGTTTAAACCTATGAGACATCCATTTACAAGTACAGTTTATTTGGCTACAACCTCCAAAAATGCAGCTTTATTAGTATCAAACTCTGAGTGTAAAATTGATAAACCTAAAAATCTGCTCATTTAAAAATAATTCATGTCATATATGAACCTTGATCTTTTTCTCCTATTTGATTTCTATAGGTTCCATATAAACTAACCGCCAAGATTTCTTTGGTTTTTCAAGACGGTGTTTCTCTGTGTAGTCCTGGCTGTCCTGGAAATCCCTTTGTAGAGGAGGCTGTCCTCAAGCTACAGAGATCGATTTGCCCTTACCTCCCAAGTGCTGGGATCAGGTGTGCGTCACCACCATGCCTGGGCTCTATGCCTGGCTCCAAGATTTCTATCTTGAACTTGTGGGGTTTAGGCCAGCCTGGCCACACATAATGGAGCCCAGGAGAGATTGGTCATGCATGGGGTCCAGGCAGCACTGGGTCCCAGGAAAAGCCATAAGATGGCACCACCCAGGAACAGACCATCCAAAAGAAATTCCTAACACTCCAGCCACTGTAGATAGGATCACCTGCCAGCATACACCCATCTCTTACCCCTAGACAATAACAATAACTCTGCATGAAAATGGAAGGAGCTACAAAACATTATTTTGAGTGAGGTCACAGACACAGAAAGACAATTATCACATGTACTCATTCATAGGCGGTTTTTAAACATAAAGCAAAGAAAGCCAGCCTACTAACCATAATCCTGGAGAATTTAGACAACAATTTTTTCATTTTTACTCTTTTATTTCAAAAAACGACTTGAATTTAGGGCCTCATAAATGCTTTGCAAGTGTATTATTGAGATTATTCCCACTCCAGGTTAAAAAAAAAAAAGATAAAAATCACTTACTCCAGAAGAATATTATTCATATCTTGTGTGAAGAATTTTTTTCTTCCTTCTTCATCAAAAAGTTTGGCAGCCTAGAGAAACATAAGGAAAACAGACAACATAATTCACAATAAACAGTTACTGACATAAATTATCTAACAACAATAGTACTACTACTATCAGTAGTATAGTATTTTACTATTATTTTATTTTAGCAGTAAAATACCACAAATTTTGACCCAATCAGGCAAAGCCATTTGAGATCCAAATCAAACAGGCTATCATGTATGACGGCTGCAGTTGGTAATAACTAATATACACTTGTGGCTTGAAAAGCACTTGAATACTTAAAATCAGTGCCACTGGGCTAAAGTTAAGTGACAACAGGGCTAGGCTCTTTTTCAGAGAGAAAAAGAAAAAAAAAAAAAAGCAAAGTTAGACCCAAGAACTTTTTTAAAAACAAAGCATACATTGAATTAGTATGGGATGATGGAACATGGAACTAACAGTACCACTTGAGATAGCGTAGCTTTCCAAGAGCCATTTAACTAATAACCACAGGGAAATACTATACTTAAAAAGAGAAGCAATGTGAAATGCCTATTTCTAGACTTAACTGTCATCAGAGGCCATGAAAAGTATAAAGCTGAAAACTGATTGCCAAAATGCCTAATGTACAAAACGGACATGGCCTTTGAGTGAAATGCATAAAGATCTTCTCACTCTCATTCAAACACACACACATTTATTATTTTAAGCCACAGGCTCCCTATGTAACCCAGGATAAAGTTTGAGCTTGGCAGCCCTCCTGAATCAGATTGCAAATTATCACCCACCTAAGGATTTCTACAGAATCCGGTGATTATGTCTACTTTAAACTTTATAATCTTAAATGCTAATAATCTTAGGCAAAAATCAAACTTAATACTCAATGTCACAAATATGTATCTATCTAAACAAAAATGCCAGGCAATAGTAAAGCCCACAGTACTTTTCCTGTGCTGAGTGAAACCAGGATGCTGTACATGTTAGGTAAATTCCCAAACACTGAGCTAAGCTCTCACCCTCAAAATACAATTTGAAAAAACAAGATTATTTCTGTTTCCTATAGAATAAAGTCCTTGTTGGTAGAGTGAGTCTATAAACTTTCTAACTTTGTATTCTTCTACTCTAGTCTATACTTTATACTCATTATCATATAGAATCTGCATAAACAGCCAGAAATTGGTAGTATATCTCCTGATCTTGCAAATAAGGAGCTGCAAACTTACAAATAAGGAGCAAAATGCCCCCAAATCAAATTGCTAGTAAGTTATGCAGCCAAGGGCTGGAGAGATGGCTCAGAGGTTAAGAGCATTGCCTGCTCTTCCAGAGGTCCTGAGTTCAATTCCCAGCAACCACATGGTGGCTCACAACCATCTGTAATGAGATATGGTGCCCTCTTCTGGCCTGCAGGCATCCATGCAGACAGGACACTGTGTGTGTATATA